TAAAAAGTTTTATGTTTCTTGTGTAACTGTATAATAAAATTGTATTTTTTCTACTTTTTACGTTTTCAAAAGTATCCTCACATATAAATTTTCTTTATCTGTTTTTTTTTATCTCTGTACAGTTCTAAAAATGTGCTTTAGGTAATTTGAGAGCGAACTGTTCGATTTCGTATACGTAAAACGCGTTAGCAGTTCAATCGTCATTCCTATTTACGTTTAGACGAATTGGCACTCAAATGACAGCTTCGCATTTCAGTATTACTGATGTACAGATTCTCAGTGTCATTTAATCTGCTTGTAAACCGGAAACTACATAGGCATTCTCATTATTCATTCCCCAAAGATTAATCCTGTTCTCCCGATATTAATTCCGTTTTGTAAATTCTGACATTTTCTCAATGAATGCGCAGTTTTTTTTATATCTTAACAATTTATTAAATATATTGAATTTATGATATTTAAATGAAGTAAACATTTTTCTTTCTCTTTCAATTTATATATTGTAAATATAAAAACGCGCGCACTCACGCAATTGAAAACAATAAATTCCTTAAAATGAAAAATAGAAAGTATAGTTTATGTCGCTAAATAATAATTACATGTAGAAAAAAAAAACAAATAAAATTTCACGAAAAAGCTGTATGAGTTATATATAGAATGTCATTTATAAAAATAAAATTAATTGGGAATCTAATGGACTATTAATAGCATAGAGTTGTCAAAATTGTTCACAACTGTGCGTGTTCGAATTCTATGTGAATTTAATTCATGTCAAAATTACGTAATCTGACATTTTACAACAACATTCTTCACAGAAATAAATTATTGAGTGAGAAATATTCACGCGTCGATCGAATCGCCAATGACACACGTCAACATTTTTTAAATTTTAATTTCTAGAGAGAGAGAGAGAGAGAAGAAAAGACATCCATTGACACATATTGACGTGCAAAGCGTGAATGTGTCTGTCGATCTTTCAAAACTTTATTTGCCTTCACGTTCTCTCGGATGCTAGGCGTCGAGGACAAAGGAATTAATTTGTCAATCAAAAGGTTAACTCAAAGCCGTCATATATCGAATAGATCTAGTAGAAAATATCGCAAGAAAATTGTAACAATTGTGATTAAAGATAAAGAATAAAAATAATATTTAAAAAATAAAAATAGATATTTTTTTAAATGGTTATATTTATAACAAAAGACAAAATTAGAAATCTTGAATATTTAATTAAAAAGTAAAATTAAAATGTCAAATATTCAACAATTAAGGAAATGAAAAAAGAAATCTAAACGTTATTTTTAATAGAACAATAACACTTAAATACTGGACACAAATTAGGCCCTTAAAATCTCATTATTTTACATGTTACTTTTAGTAATTTTATATGTATTATTATTATATACATTCTGCAGTAATTAATTTTTAACATAGGAGATATGTGTATAATAAACTAATTTAATGATACATTAATGAGGTTATAATAATAAATACATTAAAAAAAAACTTTTATAAATCTTTGAAATAAAGTAAATTTTACCTACGAGATTATTTACAAGATAATTTCATGAATTTAACGATTTATTCCAAAATGTTCATGATAATTAAATTATCGTCAATTCTTTTGTTCTATTATTGACAAGAAAAGCGATTCTGACACCTTACTATGTATGGTACACATTCATACACACAGAGAGTAATTGCTAATAGGCTATGGGTAAAGCCATCTCTATGAATATTGCAGTATGTAAATCCAGGCCTCTCTTGAACTTGTTCTACTATACCAACTTCTCTTTACCCTGACCCCTTCCCGGTTACCTTACTGTTCACATTTCTATCGCTCAGGACTACGTTCGGAAATGTTAACAGAGTGCCCCCGTGTATCATCTTATTGTTTAACATTGAATAATAAGGATAAAACAATATACGGAGGCACTCAAGTAATATTTCTAGTGTAATCCAGGGAAAGTTAAACATCCACAAAAGCTGTGATTATTAATATTTAACTTAATATGGAAATCTGTCTCTCTCTCTCTCTCTCTCTCTCTCTCTCTCTCTCTCTCTCTCTCTCTCTCTCTCTCTCTCGCACAAGCCGCTAAACTTATAATAAAAATTATTTCTTGGCAAGGAAACGGGATTCAATATGTCTCCCAATTTTAGAAACTTAATTGCGTAAAACAATCATGACACTTTCAATATTTCTGTATAAAAGTCGTCTAAAAGTCAGTTATGTAAAATTTTTTTAATAATAAATTTCTTATTTAAAAAATATCCATACATACATATATATACATATAAGATATATAAAATTGTAGATAATTCTCTTTTAGATAGAATATAAATATTTTTATTTTTAGAGAAGAGGATTCTGAAACGTTTATTGTTTTATTTAAAAAATCATTGTTACATAAAATTAAATCATACGTCATATTCAGAATTATGAATGTAGAATAAGAGGCAAATATTTTCTCGCAATTTTCAAATTAAATTCTCGTCACATGCGAGTTTTATACGAGCTCAAAAATTTTATAAGCTTACGTAATGAAAAAGCTGTATACGTAAGGTGCATCTTGAAAAAAACCGCGTCAAAATAGATTACGTATATCTGTATTCCTACTTTAGATTCAAAATTTCAACCACTTTCAACATAAGTGATCTACATCTATTATACACGTTCGTATGTATCGTTATTAAAATTTCAGAAAGCATCGTCGTGACGTAAATATCTTTACTAACAGAAACGAGATGTAAATTTGCCTCCGTGCTGTTTGCAAAATTAATATGAGATATTACTTTTTCTTTTATCTCTCCCTCTCTCTCGAAGTAATACGGTGTAATCTTCGCAGGACAGATATTATATAAAAAATAATAAAGGCTTACTTTCGAACAAACATCATTAATAATCTTCTAAGCGCAATAGAATAAAATTAAATTTACACTTATAAAAAAAATAACGAAAGAAAATAATTATGTAGCGTCCTATTATTTATTTTTACTGATTTTGTTTAGTTTTTTATCTTATATTTTTTTTAAATAGATATTTTATTATTATATATATGTATGTATCTGATTAATAATAGATATTACATTATGTATAAATGTATTAGGAAAGATTTAGTTTCGCCACGTTAATATCATCAAGATGTGGTTGCGACTACGATCATGTGATTACGATAAATCAAGCTTCCAAAATTGCAGCAATTACCGGGGAATCTCCTGCAGCTTCGCTCGAGTTGTCTTTCCGATACCGGAGAGGAAGTTTCTCGCAAGGAAAGTTGTGCTGATAGGTCGATGTCTGCACCAACTTCGCTATAAATGTTAATGAACTGTCGACAGTTGGAAAGTGTCGCCTTCCAATTTTGAACGAAATTTTGATAGATTACCTAATTAACCGTAGAGCAATTTTGCGACAAAGTTAAATTGTTGCGACGAATGTCATCGTGTCTTTATAACAGAATGAGATTCAAAACAAATGCAAATTTTAATATATATAATATACTTTACAGCATATTTTTTAAAATACTAATTAAGAAAAAGGATTCTAATTATAATTAAATGATAGTGTGTCAGATATCAATTCAAATCAGTGAAAAAAGTTTCAGAAATGGCATAGTTAAAAAAAATATATTAAATATATATTATAATTATAAAATATTGAAGAACATACAAAAATTTAAATTAAATATTAAATACTAATTAATCAGAGTTAAATATTAAAAATAAAGTATTAATTGTAGATTAAAATAAAAACTATTCTAAGAATAAATTAGAATGATAATTTATTTTAATCGAATTCGAGAATTCAAGCGACAGAATTGAGAAAATCTATTGTGATTGTTTGTAAATATGTCAGTAATGAAATGAAGTGTTATATTTATGTCTTTTGAACTGTCAGTACTTGATTCGTCAATCCATCGTTAAAGGAATTGGAAGACCCTAAATTATACGTGTGTAATCATATGAATATAAAACGTAGCGGTTCCAAGAAAACGAAAGAGAAATCGTTGATGGGATGTTTTCGTGGCTTGTCGTTAATAATACAGTCAGATGTATTTACAGATACTCACGATTACACAAGCATACATAAAAGCCAGTACGATTGTAATTTTGATGTTCGCCATTAAGATCGGTAACTGGGGTACGAAAGAAAAGGAAAGTTTCTGTTTAAAAAATTATATATCCATTATATATCCATTTCTACGCTGAGTTTATTGTTATATTTCTTTGTAACATTACTATAAAGTAAACGATATTTTTATGATCATTATATGTACGAAATTTTATGATACGTATGAAAAGAATGATTAAAGATAAAAATAATTAAACTGACATTAGGTATTTTCTATATATTTAATCTAATGAATATAATTCAATGTTTATTTATACGCATTTATTTTAATTAAATTACCTACCTAGTATTCCAGGCATGTTTATGACATTGTTTACCTATGCGAATATTTCTCCATTAATTAGTCTAATTAAATTGTAATTTCATTTAATTATTTTATTTAATTATTTTAAAGCACAACCTTTTTTTCTCTTTACGACAATTTTTATAACTCATACTCTGATATAAGTGCTTCATATTAAACTAATATTTTCTTAAAAATCGAATTAATCTTTTTTTTAACTAGTTAATTCTTCCTTTAAGTCCAGATCTATTATGGAACAAATAATAAACGATCAAATTTACAAAGAACAAAAACTTTCACGAACAATGTAAGAGATTTGTTTTAAGCAAAGTGCAAAATCTATTATATCGCTACTTAAGATGAGAGTACTATTATTATGGAAAGTGATTGGGATAAGTGGAAAACCTGGATTACAGTGAACAGATACATTTGGTTTAAAAAAATGATAAAAGTGATACTTTTGTATGCAATATAAAGAGATGGAATGTTTAAATCGCCATCTTAGCGTTATGATTCAGAAACGTTTATAAAAATCGACAAACCTGTCGATGGATTTTAATAGATAAATATTTAATATGATATTGATCTGGGATGGAAGTCAGCGAGCCTCCGGATGAGGAGGTCTACCGCCGAATACTCACGATCAACTTTTCTTCAAATCTCGAGGGTGTTCCCCTTTTTCGAAACAATCTGAGTATTATCGATGAATCAAGAAATATCACTCTAATCGCCCTTAAGGGCGTTATAATGATCAGCATCATTGTCACCGCATTGTTAGGCAATGCTTTGGTAATCGCCAGCGTCAGAAGACATCGGAAGTTACGGGTGCCCACCAATCGCTATGTAGTTTCCTTGGCGATGGCGGATCTTCTAGTGGCGATGTGCGCCATGACATTTAATGCTTCCGTCGAGCTTTCCGGTGGTAAATGGCTCCTAGGAAGTATCATGTGCGACGTGTGGAACTCGATGGACGTTTATTTCAGTACCGCCAGCATCCTCCACCTTTGTTGTATCAGCGTCGATAGGTATTATGCGATAGTCAGACCGCTGGAATACCCAGCCATTATGAGGACTGTAACAGTTACTGCCATGTTGAGTAGTGCTTGGACTCTGCCGGCCCTGATTAGCTTTATACCTATCTTCATGGGCTGGTACACTACGCAGCAACACCTGGATTTCCGTCGAAAGAATCCGCAGGTAGTTTGGTCGATACTGCTTTAAGAATTTATGAATTTAAAAATTCAAGAACTCTCAAGAGAACAAGAGCAAAAATTTACGAATTTAGAAATTATTCTTTCAATTTAAGAACGCAGAAATTTATTGAAATTTAAGGAAATATATTTTTAATATACTTTTAAAATTTTAATTCATATTACTTCTCTCTCTTTTACGAAAAATAGCGCGAACATCACTTTTGTGTTTATCGCCTCGAAATTTAAAATTCACAAAATATTTTTTGATATTGTGTTTTGATATCATTCAATCTCAAAGCGAATCAATACATTGTTTCTGCTTAAGAGCTTCGATTTTACTGAAGCATTTGATTCTCTACTTATCTCTCATACAGTACATCAAATAACGACTCTTCATTTTAATATCTCTGTATTCTCTGTAACTCTTATTGTCCTCCTGTATCATGTTATTACTTTATTTGTCATTTTCTCGATCGCATTATCTGTCGACTATGTTCAATCTATACTTGTGACACTGTCTATTATATTTACAAGACAGATAACCCAGATAGATCAATATCTCAGAAAAAGTTAATCAATCGCAAAAAATTCTTCACTCTGGATATTCTGCTTTTGTTACAATAATACGCTTATGCAATATAAATATTTTCTTATATATATATATTTCTTTTTACATAAAAGAAAATTTTAAATAATTTATCAAAAATAAAACGTAATTTTTATTTAAAAAATGTAAAAAAATCTACAAAACAAATACAAATAATGTGAAATTATTGAACAATAAATAAAATTAATGGAGCAGCAAAATAGTAATAATTTATATATAATTTTTGTTAGAAAATGAAAAAAATATGTTATCTTTCGCAAAAAAATTGGTCTCGATGTGTAGTTTATTGATATTTCGGTTATATGATTTTGTTGTATTTAGCAGAGATACAAATTACAATATTATATACGATATAATTTATAATTTTTACGTACACTCCAGTTTTATGTGAGGTATCGATTTTTAATTGATGGAGTACGCCATCGGAAAACTATTAGTGATAAGACTCATTTATCAACGCTTAACCGTCACAGCTACTTACGACTTCTTTTCCTCATAGTAATTACTGATCCGCGAATTTAATTGATCTTCAAAAATAGAATCCGGCTAATCACTACATTTCTCAAGTTAATGTTCTTATATTCTTAACTGTTATTAATACTGTATTAATCAATGTTGGTGACATCAATTGAGTATCACACATCATTAATATTTTTCTTATAATAATTAATATTTTCTTAATAGCTATTAATGTAAGTGGCTTATAACATCCTTTATCAACTTAAGATTTAGTGAATTTCCAGAGATAGCATTAGATTAATTACAGTATTTATCTTTCCTCTCTTCAATCGGTATATACATTTTTTAATGAATAACTCTCGTAATCTCGCTCGTTAGAAAAGCTGTATTACTTCAATTTGTATCAATCCCTTAATTACAGAGAAATTAATTTCACATCATAATTTGTATCTTGCTAATACCACATCACTTTTCAAAGTCAATTAAATACAAAGGCCAATAATTATGTTTAAAATACATATAGAACGAATGCTGATTTCTTTTATAATTAATCGTGTAATTAGTGTAGAATACCCCATATTAATTTGGCAAAAGGCAATTTATTAACTTTAACATTGTAGTAATAAATTAGCTATGACGCTATATTCTCTGATAATGAAAAAAGGAAAAGAAATTTGAAGATTTTAGAAAAGGATGAAGGAGAGAAACTAAAAGAACATATCCCCTTAAATTTCGTTATAAATAGTATCTTTAAATTTTTTATACTTCAATGGCTTATTTTAGAAACTTTTTAATATCGTAGTTTTTTTGACGATCTCTCAATTTTACTCAAATATAACTAAAAGTTATTAAAGTAGGTATTAAAAGAGTAATATTGTAACGGTTTTCATCCATTATTTCCATTCATTTAATTTTAGATTCACAAATATAACATATTGAATTTTTCACTTTTATATTTTTTAACAAATTTTGCAAACCTTTCTGTGGTCTATTTATCTATACATATATTCAAAAAATCATTTATTTATCTATACATATATTCAAAAAATCAAATTGCAAATTTATGCAAAATTTTTTTAATTTTTTATACTCCGCGCGAGATTATTTAAAAGTCTCATATACTTTTTGTAAAACTCATTCTGAACGGGTTTATAATTTGTGAGGGGCAAGGAGGGAATTTTCACAATAATCCTACAAGTATCAACTGAAAATTCTCCGACTTCTGCGATCTCAGATTTGCATGTTTGTGGTGAACCTCCCATATGCGGTGATCAGTTCCTGTGTGTCTTTCTGGATCCCGGGTGTCGTGATGATCATCATGTACTGCAAGATTTACAAGGAGGCGGTCAGACAAAGAGCAGCTCTCAGTAGGGCATCCAGCAGCACGGTGTTGAACAACGTTCATGTACGTCGCTCCTCTAGTGGTTCCAGACATCATTCTAGAACGTCGCACCAGCTGCTGCTTCATCCGAGCGATGCCAGTGATTATGGAAGACCGCCCTCTTACAGAGCTTCAGCGGCGGAGCTCAACATCGAGAATGGTGAGTGCGAGAATGAATCGGGCGAGTATGAAAAAAAAAAAAACGGAAATAAAATAAAATAAAATACGAAGGAAAAAATAAAACGAGAGGTAAAAAATACAATAAAATAATATAGAAATGCTAAACAATGCTGAAGAAAATTTTGATGGGGTTGAGGGAGGGAAGAGGGACGTCAAAACCTTGTGCATCAAATGCACGAAAAGTATCGGAGCGAGAATGGTGTCCCTCAATTATCGACGAAATTGAGCGGTGGCAAATTCAATTGCGTTTCCCTTCCATCAGTCGTCTCTCGTCAAAAGGCCTTAATGCATGTTTCAGCCGACGTGCACAAAGCGAAGATTATTACTTTCGCCCGCGGCCACTTGCCTTTTTCCCGCTACGCTTGATACGTCGAAACCGTGTAATCATCGATCCGAAGAGAAATTTCGCTCGGATTTCGTAGCAAATGACATGCAGTGCAAAAATGCACGACAGAACGTTCATTATGTCGGTCTTTTTAACGACACAAAGAACCTCGCAAAGAACATTAATAAAATTCTCTCAATATGTGAATTATACTTTTTCAGTACACTCAGTAAAATTCGTATCATTTATCATTTTTTTGTATGATTTTACATGCATTTAAAAAACAGTTTTAAAGATTAAGTTCAATAGCGAAAATTCTATCGCATATTTAAATTTTTAATATTCATACATTTCCCTTTTTTACGTTCATATACTTAAAAGAAGAAGCTAAAGCTAAAGAATTTAAAAATTATCGTTCTTGAAATTTTTCGTAATATGTGAAATTGTATAAAAAGTGTGAAAAGAAACGTTCCAATGTTTTTATCTGAATAATTAATTTTCAGCTTTTTAATAAAAAACATTTTCCTGAATACAATTGTATTGTTATTATAAAAATGAAGACCACAAAGACATAATGTTAGAATGCCTTTATATCGAAATTTGTAATGAATAAAATAATTGAGCAACAAGAATCCGCTTTCAAACTGAATCGACAATTAAAAGCATTGTTTTATAACCAAATTAAATTTAACAATAACATAAGATACTCGCGAATATACATGAAAATCGGAAAACATTTCATTAATCCTTTCAACCATAAATAGCCAAAAATTTCGGTAAGCAATTCTACGATTACTATGACTTGATTTTGAAATATAATGAATATTTATAAAAATTGCACTTTGCATAAAATACAGTATACAGTACTCACTCAGTTGTCTTTCAGAACAAAAAGTTTTTAATAATGATAACTGGCTTTTAATCACAGATTCCCTGATAAATCCAAAAATTCCACAATATAAACTGAATAATTTGCAAAAAAAAGAGTACAACTTTTATTTCTTCATGATCGTCCGAAGATCGTTTTATTTTTACATCTTACGTATTTTTATTCATGGAAACTTTAACGAAAAATTGTCATAAGAATGACACTACACTCAAGAAAAAATTGATACGTAAAAATAAAAAATAATCTTTTTATTCACATTGTTATGAAAAAAAAATTGCTGCCAGTTATGTTTTAATCCTTTAAAAACCACAGAGTTTCATCAACAACTCTGAATTACTTTTTAAATGATTGAAACATAACTGACATTGATTTCGTAATGATGAATAAGTTTAACTTTATTTCACGCACAACATACCAATTTTTCCTCGAGTGTAACGTCATTATTATGCATGATAATTTTTGGTTTCATGAAGAAAAATACATAAGAAGAAATTAAAATTAAACGATCTCCAAACGGTTGCGAAAAAAAGGTTGTACTTTCTTTTTGGTTTGCGAATACATTCCGCACGAAATAACGTATCGATTGAAAGTGTCATTATGGTATAAATGCCGAACGATAAATGGCATCCATCGCATTAGAAAGCAATTATATCCACAAACGCGTTTAGCGTCGACACAAATTAAATATCTATATCGTTATCATATACGCATTACAATACTGTTTCGATATTGTGACTGACGCGATTTGTAATGACGCCCGTGGAGTATTCTATTTGAAATGTACGTCGCGACGGATTTTGCGGATATTATTTTCCTTGCTTCGAGAGAGTGGCGACGGTTCTGCAAAAGGATGATAAAAATTCCTGCGCACTTCCCGTAGCGTTTTATCTGATGGCGTATAGAAAAAAAAAAAAGAGTGTATGAGAATTCTCTCGTCCCTGCGGATTTTTTGCAAATACGTTGCGCGTTTCGCACGCCCACCAAACGAGAATTGCGGTGAATTGCTTTCAATAAAAATGTGTTTTTTGTTAGATGCGGAGAAACGAATCGATCGGTTTCGCGTTCGCTTTTCATATCACGATGTTACATCTCTAACAGTTTTCTCGTATCCTCTCAATAGCGATGTATTCAAAAGCTCGTGACGATTTTTTCCCCTCTTTTTCTTCTCTCTTTTTCTAGCTCACTTAGTTGGCATCCCATCACTTTATACATGAAAATAACGCCGGGAAGTCATGTTTCTAATTTTGACACGTAATCCGCGGAGTAGCATAGTCTCTGCTCGTTCTCTGCGAGCCAAGTAAACACGTCTAGTAATAGATCACATAATCTAGTAATAGATCATCTAGCAATACATCATGCATTATATTCTACAAGACGAGGGTGGCGATAACGTTGTATAATGTGTAGAATAACTGCGTTGTATGACGTGTATATTCTTCGTGTTTGCGTGTGTAATAGATCTGATTATGAATAACAAAATAAAATTATCCGATATTATACGATATATACATATAACTGTACACGTAACATACCAAATAATACTGAATTCGTATAAATGATAATAACGTCAGCGTATCAAATTCACTACCCTTCTGTACTAACTAATGTAATAATTCATACGAAATTATTTATGCAAATAATAATTTATACGTAAGAATAATAATCGTACAAATAAAAATGTATGCAAATATATATTTGCGTTTCTTGTTGATTTTTATTATAAAATTATTTTTAAATGCGTTTATTTACCGGTATTAACTTAAATAAATTTTACTAGGTATTTAATAGCTTTTTGTAATTCTTTAAATAGAATGTAAAATATAAATGGAGTGTGAGTGGAAAATTGCAATCATAATTGTCGACATTTCTGTAACATCTTTCAACATATTCCTCGTTTCTATAAATGAAAACATTTGTTATTTTTAATGAAAACTTTTTTTTTTTTATTAAAAAACGAATCAACATAAAGGCTTAAATATCAGTACACAAACGGATCAAAATACATTGCAATATCGAGAGAGAAATATTTCAAAATATATTGTACGATTTTGCCGCGGGATTTTCAACAGCCCTTTTCCTTCCCCTCCCTTCTCCCCTTCTCTCTCTCTCTCGTGTATGTTTATAAAAACCTTTGTGCTCCTGTATAAAAGCACGGTTAAAATATTGACGTCCTTTGAAAAATTCATAAAATATCTAACAAAAATATTTGACACCTGTGGCAACCGTGATCAATACTTTGTGTTTTGTCTCGCTGGAAGAATATTACTTCACAAGCAAGATATAGAAACGTATCAATTACTGCATGATTACGGTTACGATAGCTTTTACGGAGGAATATTGTGGCCATACAACTGCCAGCTTACAGGCAATCTGGTTACGGCAAATTGCAATTAATTTATACGTAGATATAACGTGTGTATGCGTCGTGAATGCGAATCACGATCGACATTGTTCCAAGCCACAAATCGAGATGATTTCACAACCACGTCGCGATCCACAGACGCTACACAGATCACGTTCCGATTAGAATATTACATATCGCGGTAAATATACGTGATGCGCTCATATCTAAAGTACAATATAACTTTGTAAATCTTTTAAAATAATTTTAACTGAATTGTATTATAAGACACACGTTAAGAGTATTTCATTTTATCAGATTTAATTTCTTGAAATTTTATTATTTTTGTTATTATTTTTATAGATTTTATTTTGTTAAGATCTTTATTGTGTGTGTAATTTTTATAGCTGCATATGTATATTATTAGTCATCTATTATTACTTTTATTAAGCTCGACTTAATAAGACGTTATTAAAATAAATTAATGTTGTATTACATCTTTGTCCCTTTCATCTTACAATTTCAATTTGAAGTTTAGTTACAAAGGTATATAACGTTAAAAATTACAAATTCGATCAAACTTCATCTCGTTTCGCCACTTTTAACATTCAACTTTAGGTATCCTCGCTACCAACCCCATTAAAAGTTCGCTGAAGCGAAGTTCCACGCGAATAGAAGCGTCGGTGATAGTTTTTTAAGCTCTCAGAGAGGTTGACGAATTCAGAATTACTAAATCTCATTAAGGATCGTAATTGTGATGCAAAGAGCTTACGTTCATAATCGAACTGTGGTCCCTCGTTTTTATTTTCGTGCGAAATTAATCAACTATATTTCAAATAGATGTACAAATAAATGTACAAAAGTATGGGGCATCTTTTCGCGATCTTCTGTGACCATAACGTAAAAATTTATCCCCTCTTTCGTTCCTTGCAGCTTACCTATCCTCCCTTAAAATTTTGCCCCTCTGTTTCTCTCTCTCTCTCTCTCTTTCGCTTACTCTCTTTTTCTAGTTCGGTTTTCTCTCACTCCCGCAACGCATTCACCAGATATTGAGCGAACAAGTCGCGGGCGAGAGGGTGCTACCCCGGACGGGAGGGTGTTCCCGTTGGAGCTGGCTGACTGGCTGGCTGCTGCAGTCGCGTTCACTGACCTACCTCAGCTTGCTGGGTCGAGAGACCGAGTCTGCCCTTCTCGTGATGTCGTGTTACTTGCTAATTTAGCTTCGTTTCGATTCATTCACAAGATCGAATCTTTTGCAAACGCAATCGCGAATTAAAGATCAGAAATATGAAGAAGTAAAAATATATATAAAATTCTATACAACTTACCCAATTTACTAGATCGTCAAACATATAAAAATGTCTCACAAGTTTCTTATTTTAATTTATTTATAATTAAGAAATTATAGGAGTCTTGATACTTTTA